TGTTAGCCATTCAAAGCCACACAAGAAGGTTGTGCCAGCCACAATCACCCGTTGGATGATTAAGATGCTGGGTTCAGCAGGTGTAGACACCAGTCAGTTCAAGGCGCATTCGACACGAGGAGCTGTAGCATCCTGTTCTAACAGGATGGGGATATCAATGAAGAATATTTTAGAGGCTGCTGTATGGGCGTCAGATACTACGTTCAGTCGTTTTTATCATAGACCTACTGCTACCTCTTTGTAGCCGAGGCATTTCCTTAGTAGGGTAGCTTCAAAGTCGCCAATTGATTCGAGCCGAGAGAGGATGAAGTATGATTAATGATTATGCAAAGGTACTTACCTGAAGTATAATAGTGATTGTACGAATCCTCTTGAGGTGAGATCAATTCCCACCCTCAATATATTGTTTATCGGCACAATGATGTTACCCGGCCATTGATTCTTACAGGCAGAAGGCTGTACAGTATGTTTTGTTTTATATGAAACTATTTTCGTTGGTTGTTCTCCAGTTGTGGTTGTTTTCTCTTTGCTATATACATATATTTTGTATTCGAGGTTTTATGCTGCGTTGCTATGTTTCATCATTTTGGTAGCAGCCTCTCTATCGTGGTTTTTGTTATTTGTTGAGTTTTATACCTTGCCAAAGTTTGTATGGCAACAAGGGGAGTGAATGAAGATGACCAGATTTGTTTGGTTGAAGGGTCTTAACAACGGCCCACCCTGAGTATTTCATTCAAGTTTCTATGTGTCAAGACAGTGTTATTTGAGAAATATCAGATTACCCCCCTCAGACAAAGTGTTTCTTTAAAAACTAATATAACGCCAAGCCAAGGCAGATGGGAAACGCCAATTGATTCTCACCTGGAGAGGATTCGTATAATCACGATTATACTTCAGGTAAGTACCTTTGCAAAATCATTAATTATTATGTATTTTAAGAAAAAGATTTAAACATCTTTTAATTCATTTTACGATATTTAGTGCTGGTTTTACCTTATTGTATATTTTTAAACATATCTTAATTATTTATAATTTATTATTAAATACTCACATTTCTGTGCAATTTTGCCCCATTGTCTCTTTTGTTAACCTTTTTTTTTTCTATTTTAATGTATTTGAATAAAAAATGTTAAGTACCAATGGACTCATAACTGTATAGCCTCTATGATGTTCAAATGAGCACCAATTTCATCAAGTTTTTTAACATGTATCTATCTACCTTAATGCATTTTTTTTATGATGAAATGAAGATTGAATTAATGAATTATTGTTATTGTTAATTGGCCTAGGCTAGCCTATTAGAGCACTCCTAGATAAGTAAGGCCTTAGTATTATTAATATATTAGGCCTATGCCTAGATCTGTATTTTGTTTCATTAACTCCCTGAATTAACAATGTTATTAACAACTCATACAAAGGCTGAGGGAACATTGCCATGTATAGGGACAATCAATAGATACGTGATTTTAATTCGTTTAAATCGTAGAATACAATACCCAAAATCATGAAACAGCTTGCATCGTAAGCCCAGCCTAGCCTCTGTAGAAAAATGTATCATGACCTTCTCTCCTCCTGTTTTGATAGGCCTGGGATGGTGCAAACAAATTAACAAATGCATAGGCCTAGGCCAAACATCTAACCAGTCAGAATAACTTAAGAATAAAATTCCTTCATGAATCTGTTGTCCAGGCACAGTCTCTTACTATTTTCAAGAGGGGAATACTAATATTCCGCCTGCTTGCATCAATTTCCTCCAAGTGCTCCAGTCTTCAATAATGAAGTTTGCACTTTAACGGAAGAAGAAGATATACTTACAGAAAACTCAACAAAAGCTTGCGCTTCACAGTTCAATACGGTAGAACCAACTTCGCATGCAGTTACAGAGGCCATTCTTTCAAAACTACCGCGAACACACGTACACATAAAACGAAGACGATCTGAACAAAGTTAGTGGGTCAATGAATTATTCATGAGGGGTCCCCGAATTGTGAGAAAAAAAAAATTACGCCCGGCGCTAGGCAATGTCTGACAGCTTATAAATATGCATAAAAAAGACACGTACGAAAGAAATTATAATGAAGTTTTCAACTAACTAGTGCATTAAAATTAATCATATACTTACTACTTACCTATATAAAATTAAAATGTATTGCTCACAAACGCCAATATTTTTTTTTATACGCCTTTTCCACTAATCGGTAGCCACCTTGTTGAAGTGATGACAAACAGCAGATACCGGAAATAAAAGCGGGTATGTATTATAAAAAGCTTGTATAAAATATATATTATATTTTATTTGCTCTTATTTTAGCACACTTTTAAACGTAAACACTGATTATTGTACATCAATTGTTCCTGTACTACATAGTGACACCTACAGCAAATAAGGTAGGCCTACAGATAAGCTATGTTGTTTCTTATATATATATATTTTTAATTTAAATATAACATTAAAATGGGTTTTTGTACAATAATATTAATAACCAGCAGTGGCGAATCTAATACAGTTAGATGAGTTTATTTTTAGCTACCTGAGCGTATTTTCCTCTTTTGCTTTGAGCATTTTAAGTTTGGTAGAGGTGAGGGGAGGAGTTGACAGAAGAAGGCACATTTCTTTCTTCTGGAGGTTCTTTCCCCTTCTATAGAGTACTAAAATGTTACGTCACGATACCACGTGATACTACTCCGTTGCTATCGGCGACACAAAATGTGTTCAACCGACGCCATTTTCGCCACTGACAAACCATTGATTTTAATTTCTAACGTAATTATTAAGAAGTTGTATCTTAATTTTTCTTTGTAAATGTTAATTGATGATTAAATGTGTGTTTGATAACATATAATGGGAGGTTTTATGTTTTAGTACATTGTGATGGTAATTATTAGGTTTTAAAATGCCTATTCTAGAAAGCTTATTCTAAACCATTAGAATTATGAAGTCATTCAGGCGTAATGAACGGTAATCAACGTCGAGAGGGCGCCACCTGGTGTTGTGACGACACGACTGTGGTACTCTATGTGCCCCAAGTTACGTAACTGAAGTTGATAAAGCAGAATAAGTTCAAATGCGGCTGATTGTTGAGCGTATAACAACAGAGTCAAAACTATCCTATTCTAAGAAGTTTAAATAATAACTAAAGGAATGTACAGACAACACTCATACCAACAAAAGGACGCATATCTCCGCTCTCGAACACAGCGCGTGCATACAGTCCTTTGATCTTTACTGTGGCATCGACAATCCGATACTAGTTGCGAGTACAACCGCCAGTTATTAGTCTATGTTTTCCATACGTTTTATGGTGTTAATTACTATTTTATTAATTTTGCCAGATTATGGGTAAAACGTGGTCGGTATGCACATGCATAGGCTAGTGTTTACAGTTTACATATTTTTATTAATCAGTGTGAAAACCATCTGATGCATTCACATTCGCTAGTAAATAGTAATCGACAGTTTCATACTCGTATTAGCAAAGGTTTCACATCATCAAAGGGTGTTCAATCGAAGGGGCTCAGGAACAAAGTCACTGAATAATAAAACCCATGGGAGAGTGGCTGGGTTCATTGTGGAAAGTTTATGGCCTAGAATGACCAACAATTTACTTTTAAACACAATGATAGGGATTGGCAAGAAATTAACGTTGTTTGTATATGCAAATTATGATATGGCATAGAGCAACGGGACTCATGCTTTTCAGATGGAGGAATTGCCCCCTCTTCACCACTGTTAGTACCTGTGTATGTAGATTATTCTGATTACTCAGACACTTTAACTAGGGCAAATTAAAGATACATTTTTTAGCCTATAAAGGAATTTATACCAAGAACTAAGATAATAACATAAACAGTTGACTCACCTGCCCGCGCGTTAAACTGAGGTTACCTCTATTCAGCGTTTAACGCCTCGTGTATGCACCTTTCAGACAAAGCTTTTTGTTAAAACCATTATAACATATTTAAATCATAGAGAAATATCCTTTATGCTCAAGTACAGTGCACAGTGGTATGAGTTATTATATTGGGTTTTCGGCAAGGAATCACATTTGTCATTAATTACTAACAGTAAAAACAAATAATAAATATATTTAAAAAAATTAAATATAATGTCTTACAAAAAAAAAATATAATAATAAAAATAAATAAAGATTCCGAGACGTGATTCGAACTCACGACCTTTGGTTCCTTGAACACATCGTTAACCGACCGAGCCACACATGCGATGTGTCCTTATTATGTAGTAATGTCCGTAATTTTATAAAACCCCTGTTTTGTTTATAGGTGTATGGAGACCCCTGGGGTTCAACTTAAGAAAACGGCCTTGAACGTAATATGTTGGAAATCACTCGTTTATGTGTTCAAAATGTCATGCACGTCCGTTCATAACTGGCGACGCAGAACGCTTTTAAAGTTCTGGTAACAACAACAAGAACAACAAGAACACTAGTGTCGATCTTACGCGGAATCAACAACAACAGACATTCTTAATCACATTCCATACCTTTTATATGAATTTTCAAAGTAATTCGTTTCAACAATAAATGATTGATATAAAAAAAATGACAAGAGCATGTGCCTTATTAGCATTATGTGCAAAACAGACGATATTTTATCTAAACCTGAATAAATTCCTCAAAAATACAATTATTAGGCTACCATCAACTTCAAATTAGAGACATTTTAGAAGTATTACTAGTGTGCCTGAGGAAGTTGTGCTCACCGCTTTGAAACTTTGTCCCTGTCTAGTAATGTAGAAGACAAACGATGTGTAACAGTGCAAACAGATTGTAGTAACTTAGGAAGAAAGGCAACACAAAATTAATGGTATAGAATGCGTTAACTAAAGAAAGAAAACTGATAGGGAATTGTGCGGTTATACTTTTACATCCAAAATTATTATCAAAATACGTATGTAGACCAATATATTTTTGTTTAAACCAACAATAACCATATAATATCATATAAATGAAATTATTATCTGTGAAATCAATAACAATAATATTTTGATAAAAATTAGACAACTAACTTAAGTATATATTATAATAGATGACGACCTCAATTTTCAATTTTCAATTTTCAATTTTCAATTTAACATTTATTTACTTCCTTTTTAAATCAGACAAATATATTACAATTGATTTAAAATAAATTGAAGATGCAGGAGAGGAAGAAGGCAAGAACCCGAGAAGATAAGAAAAATCCATCTTGTGGAGGGACAGCCTGAAATAAGAGGGGGAAAAAATGAGATTAACAAAAGAGACAAAAGACAAAACAGGACAGAAAGGGACAAAAAACAATACATTCAAAACAAGTCGAAGACAGACCGACAGACCGCGCGAAAGGTAGCAACCAAGTGGTGTTGGCAGCAAAGTATTGGGAAGTGGAAATTAAATTAGAGTTAACAATGTTGAATAAAGAATGGATATTTTTGTTAGAATATAGGATAGTGGTGTCATCAGCATAAAGAAAAAAAGAAAGAAGGTTGGAAGACAAGTGAACATCATTAATATATAAAAGAAACAGAAGAGGGCCCAATAGGGATCCCTGGGGGACACCACAAGTAATCTGGCGAAAGTTGGAGATAGTGTTGAGATATTTAGTGCATTGTGAACGATTAGAGAGGTAACTTCGAAAAAGATTAAGAGCGGGACCACGAATACCATAGTGAGAAAGTTTATATAAAAGGATGTTATGGTCAATAGTATCAAATGCTTTGGAAAGGTCAATAAAAATTCCTATAGTAAATTGACTATACCTCGAATATGAAGAAAAAGAATGATGGTCATGTAACTCAAGTATTATATAAATTTACTTTTTTTATAGCATGTACGACAATTATCATCGCTTTACAGTATATATTTCCTAGATGATTGACTGGGAAGTTTTTATTACACCAGTCACTCGCATCTTGAAGAAACTCTGTGTGGTACTCTCGTGGTAAGTATACTATGTGCCCAAGGAGCGTACGCAGGTATTCTGTGAAAAAAATGAATACAATCGATGGATCAAACGAACATGAATCTAGTTTTTTCTTTATTTGCTTGAATTTATTTGTTTTGATATTAAGTTTTTATTTTACCTATTTGGAGTTCATTTCCTCACGTTATTTAAACCTTCAAACAATTTCTAAAATTTCTTTTGTTTGAAATATTAATTGTTTGGAGAAAGATATTCTGTGAAAAAGGTAGATTTGTAAGGTATAATGAGGCCTATATTTTTTAATTAGTTTGACTAATTAATTTAATTTTTATAGCAAAGCCAGAGCACATTATACTATAGAGGAAGCAAAGTATAACGGTGACTGTACTGTAAAAGTACTGTAATACCTTACCGTCTAATTCGTCTTGACTCGAGATGTCGACATTTTCACATGGCGTGTGTGACGTTCCACTAAGTACTTTAAAACCTACCGATTCCAACAATTTTCGGGTGTCATCCAGGTCGAACTGATTGTACATTCTATGAACGTAACCCTATAAAGTAAGGCTATAGTCAAAATTACTACTATATTGGCATCCACCTTTTGCATCGGTGACATTTAACGCTAAAGAGGTGCGTCGTTAAAAATACAATTGGCGTATTGACATTGATGTACACCATAAGTAAATTACATTACACCTAAATGAATTACGGTATATAAGGATAGGATTGCTCCAGATTGCTTTATGGGCAAACTGACCACCCGTAATAAACAGTATAATAAGCTTAACTACAAACTAAAAAATAATATTAAAAAAATGAAGAAGAGTTCAAAGGAAAAGACACAAGAGAAGAACGAAATTGAAGGTACTGAAGGAGAGAAAAGCAAATGGCAACGTTGGAGAAAGTAACAGAAGGGAATAAAATTAAAGGAAAGGAAAGCCACCTGGCCTTTTGCCACATGGCATGTAGGCCCATTTCTTATAGCGGTAGCAGCATTAACATATTCAACATGTTAATAATAATAGCTTATCATCGCTATTTTCATCATTGTCACTATATTTATGTTCATTATTATTTCCACACTCAAAGGTAAGTCAATTAAATCAAATAAAAAAATAATCTGTTCCATTCATAACGCTACAAGAATTTTAATTCATGAATTTCTGCCTTCGCAAAAATGTAAAAAAACATACACACTAACTAAAAACAGTACACACTCAGAAAACATATACATATAATTATACATATGTACGTCTGAATACATACAAAAACATAGAACGCTAATTAGGAAGCTACTCACACGTGTGCCTTTCATGATGGTTAACCGCAACGAATTGCCAAACAACAACCCATCATTCATCATTCAGTACAAATACGGTAGTTTGGCAAAAATGCCGAGAATAAAATTTCTGCGATTACAATGCATAGGCCTACTACTATTCAACTATGGGTGGAAACAGACCGGGTGGCAAACGGCTGGGTGGCAACGGGCCGCGTGGCAAAAGGCCGGGTGGCAACGGGCCTGGGGGAAAAAAGCCGGGTGGCAACGGACCTAGGGTGGCAAAAGGCCGGGTGGCAAAATGCCAGGTGGCAAAAGGCAGGTGCCAAAATATATCTCACTTCCGGCTGTAGAATCAAATAGATGTAATACATTATGCACTGCATCAATTTACAATTAGTTTTATTTGTATTAATATAAGAAGCATTTACACCATACCAATGCGCCCGGGAAATGCTGACGCACACTTACATAGGCCTATAAAAATATACACAAAACTTAAGGGCTTCTATAACTTTTAAATCTAAAATGAAACAAAAAAAATATTATTTACACAAAACATTTAATTAATTGAAACTGCATTATTTGAAATGCCTGAATATAATTATCTAAAGAAAGAGTAACATGTTAAGTAGTCTATTATAATGATAGTCGTAAAATATTTATTTAAATGTCTTTATTTTACATATTTATTCCATGTTAAATTGAATTGTGTTGTTAGCTTTTTTATTGTTTTATTTTTTAGGGGCGCTTTAAGTCAACATTGCCGTTTCGGTCTACCCTCTTGAAATATGGTTCAAAATAATCGAATAAATAAATAAACATTTACAAACCTTCAGGTGTTTTTCCCATTTACTGTGATGTTTTAAATAATAAGGCAGCTCATCCGGATTTTGGCCACAAAACAAGAGAAAACACTCCCCGCCGATTTTTAGGCAATCGTAGATGTTACGCATTGCACTAATTCTCTCCTCTACCCAGTGTAAAGCATGGACTGAAACAACTTTATCAAATGTACCCTTCCACTTTGGAAAGTTTCGACAAAGTTTTTAGCGTCTGCAATTTCATACGTCACGTTTGAGCGTTGATATTTTTGTCTTGCAACGTCGATCATATCTTTTGAAATATCAATACCTTAATGAAAAGGGAAAATTGTAAGAATTATACAGACATCATATAACATTAACAACAGATACTCTACTTCTTCTAAATGTAATTGCCAATTTAGGACATTCGCAGCCACAATCAAAGGAGGAAAAAGTTGTGCTTAATCTAAAAAAATACTGCTTTTTTAAAATATTATTTAGCAAAACATGTTCAAACATTCTTCGATTATGAATTAGCTGGAGTGTGATGCGTTTAAAACATACTTCACTCCGACAACATTGTTAAAATCACATTGTATAAAATCAATCTCTTTTTTTGATATTTTTTGAACATTCTATAGATGATGCTAAACAGAATACAGAATTAATAATAATGTAGAATAATATATTATTAATAATGTCCCTCTAGTGAGGAATCACATGGTTTTGGGATAGCAATCATCCTTCATTGACCATTCTATAGATATGTGGTTCTCAATCTTTTTGCATACGCGGGCACCTCTGGACTTGTCAAATGTCTTCACGAACCCCATGTATTACTCATTGTGTATATTCCAATAATTAGATTAGCTTAGAAGAAAATTTGCCATAAAAAATATGACATTAAACAATGGGTGGATACTGTAATTCCGTAAAGATTAGAAGACATCTCAGTACCACCATGGTACCATGGGAATTGTTATGTCCATGACACTTTTAGATGGCCGGAAATAGCACTATGAGAATTATAAAAGTAAACACTGGGGGATATTGCAATTACAAAAAGAAAATTAAAGCAATGTCCAAACATAATATAAGAATAATGGTGAGCCAGGAATGTGATGCTCTCAGAAAAAAAAAGGAATGAATAACAAGAAAAAGGACAACAACAATGAAAATAGGTTTAAATATCATTGAATTTTAATGATAATAATAATAATAATAATAATAATAATAATAATAATAATGATAATAGTAATAATAGTAGCGGTAGTAGTGGTGGTAGTAGTAGTAGTAGTAGTAGTAGCAGTAGTAGTAGTAGTAGTAGTAGCAGCAGTAGTAGTAGCAGTAGCAGTAGCAGTAGCAAGTTGTAGTGGTAGCGGTAGCGGCAGCGGCGGCAGCAGCAGCAATAGCAATAATAATAATAATAATAATTATAATAATAATAATAATAAAATAAAAATAATAAGAGGCTAATAATAATAATAATAATAATAATAATACATGTAATAATAATAATAATAATAATAATAATAATAATAATAATAATAATAATTATTATTATTATTATTATTATTGAAAACTTTTATAACGCCAATATTTGAGCTCAATGCGCTTTGTGCGCATTAACAACAGGAGAAAACATTAATAAATAGTAACGTTTTTTATTTTATTTTATTTTTTAAACTGTTCATACTAAAAGAGTAACTGTTGCTGGTAAGCTGTTCCATAGTCCCGGCTGCAACATAAAATGATCCTGACCCTACTGTTTTTCGGCCCTAAGTTCGTGAAGCAGGTTTAGCGTCAATGATCGTAGGCCTTTACGAGATGGTTCATAATGATCCACAAGGTCAGATTAGTATGCATGAAGGATCTCATTCAAAATCTTGAAGACAGACAGTGCCAGATTGTACCTAATCCGTTGTTTAATGCAGGTCAACCAGTGCAAATCAATAAATTATGTGAGCATTCAATTTGGTGTAAACGAAACTGCGCTTTGCAAGCCCTGTTTTTTTTTTGTATTTGAGATTTTGTTAATTCCATATAGCAAGGCATTATCAATAACAAGTTTAGAAGTGACAAATATGTGTACACTCATTTCAGCTTTTTTATTTATTTATTTATTTTTAGAACACTTCTACATATTCGGAAATGGCACTGTCAGGTTCAAAATTTGAATGTAATTTTCCTTTATACCCCATGTAGGCCTATTTTTAATTTTGTAAAACTTAGGAAGTGATTTTTTTTAAACAATTATTCGATATCTCGGTAAAAGTAATATAAGAGAAAATATACAAACAAAATGTTCATTACCTGAGGATTACCACTATTGAGTGGCTATTTAAACACTTAAAGTCTAAATTCTAAACATATTTACATAAGCATGCATACACAAATATAAACAATTCTAACAGATCGGCCAAGTAAAAAGTAAAAAGGGCACCTATTGACTTTGCGGATTTAAGGGGTTCGCAGACCCAGGTTGGGAACCACTTTGCTAGATGATGCTGAAGAGTATATAGAATTGTGCTTCTTGTGTTATTAGTTACGTCACAATGTTTTGTGTCCCTCGATCCCCTATTAATATAAGGATATCACACATTTTACACCCATATGGTCCGTTAGAGTTCTATTGTATTATATTCTTTTACAATTTTAATCATATATACTAATTTGAGTAGGCCTAAGGAGGACATGTTTGTTACGATTTACTGCTTAGACGCACGCATAAATTTTACTTTTAAAAAGTACCTGCAGTTATCAAATCCAATTTCACTCTTTCTCGAGTGAACTCACTTTGAAATAAGAAATTTTTACCGTATTATTCCTAGAATAATAATAATAATAATAATAAAATTTACTCTAATTAGAGTAGAATCTCACTATTTATTTTACTATCAGGCGTTATAATCACTGTAGGCACATTTTCATTACTTTGCTGCACTTTTAGAGAGTTCGAAATTTTTCCCGAAGGAGGCCTAGTTTGACTATAGCTGCCATTGTCCATACAAAGAACGGTCAACTACTAATTCAGGTTTGGTTAATAATTTATTTTCTTCCATTGTGCAGTATAACTTAAGAGCGTTTACTTAATTTCTTCCTATGACAAATCACAAAATTTACGATTATAAAATAGAATTAAAGTGGCAAAGAACTCACCTATGGCACTATAAGCACGGGTCCCTATCTCATAAATTAAATCTCCACTACCACAACCTATATCAAGAACTTTCTCGCTTTCATTAATACTGATATCTGGCATAAAATACTTAACTGATGCTTTCTGCGCTCTTCGTCCTGATGAATACAGACAAGCTTCACTTGAATTCATCGTTAATACTTTGATAATCTAGTATTTAATTTATTTGCCTTTAAAACTGTTGGTAGCACAGATATGGCAACGTTTATACCGTAACCACTGAGACTTAGCGGCTTACCAAACGGGTAGGAAAAAAAAGTTAATCATTATGAGATTGGATAGGTTAAACTTTCTTTCATTTCAAAGTACAATCGACCATCTGTTTACGTATCGGCCGACAACACTGGTAGAAGTAAAAGTTAATAATAATCCGATAGGTCAAATTTTGTTAGGTTCTTTCACGTAGAAAAACAACGACCATCTGTTTAACTAATCCGTGGACAAGTTTAACCTTTTCGCAGATATCATCAGCAGATAGCTCAATAGTGATTAAAGCTGAGAAATGACAAAAAAATAATCTAATCTACTGCTTAGCCTATGAATTTGTTTATGCTCCCTCCAATTAAAGACCACTTCTGTGTTCAGGGTTCCAATGGTCTTTTGCAGCCTTGGTCTCTCTAATTAGAACAATAAAGATAGAATATATTTTTGTTAATTTGGAATCACTAAAAAGAGGTCTTTATTTGCAGTGGTCTTTATATACATACATACATACACACACATACACACACACACACATATATCTGTCTCTTA